AAGAGAAAACCATGAACAAAGGATTATCCTGACAAGAAAGCATGCACGAGCACGACAAACGCCATGATTTTATCAACATTGGAGCATAACGCAAAGAACCAGACAATTGCAGCAGTTTCTATAGCAATCTCCTTAAACCCTCTTGAAAAAAGACAGAATATTCCCTTGTTTAGGATCCTTGTTCCCTGCTTTCTTACTTCCCGTTTTGCCAACTTGGTTTAATGGAGCATTAGCAGTTACAGCTGGTGACTTCTTAACAGCAGATGGTCTGGAAATAAACCCAACAGTATAAGTAGCTTATAAATCTGAATTAGGAAAAATGGAACATTAATGACAGCCAGAATGAAGCAGTTTTTGAGCTGATTATCTGTAAAACACCAAACATACACAGTCATACATGTGTGGATGTCTGCTACAATATAATGCCTCAGAACTGCCAGCAACTTGATAGTTGACAAAAAGCATAAAACTCCAAGCTCTATTCTAACATTGTCCAGTAGTTTTCTCTTCAGAAATAGCAAATATAGAACGCTAGATTGTACTCAGAAACAAAAAGGAGAAACAAATAAAAAAAGAAAGATGAAAAGTTTGGCATTTGAGATGGAAGAGGCATACATATCTAATTATGCAAAATCGGCATCCTAAAGTATTTATCCGAATGAGATGTCATATAAATGGGGAGACACCAATCAGCCAGTAATGACCACAAAGCACCCATGCAGAATTAGAGAACCAGTCATCGCCTCATACTTGCACATATATTGTGGGCAGAACTACATCTAAATTCATGTTAGTCTGGGGCAAAGTGATTTACATGGTAAATTAAAAAGAATCCAGTACAAGTTACAGTATGTTCACCTGTTAGAATTGTTGCTGGCTGGAATGTTGTCAGCCTTCTTTGTTGTGTCACTCTCAGGCTTTGTCTCCTCCTCACCCTCCCAAACAACCTCAGTTACTGCATCCACAATTCAAATGAGTCAAATAATATAAACAGGGCAAACTATAACAAACAGAATGCCACAGAGCATGCAAAAAAGCTAATTCACTTCGACAACCATTGGATACACGGAACAAAGCATCACTAAAAGTAACTATGTATGCCCATATGTGGAAAGATGCGTAAGCCTAAGGCTACTTTCAACACTTCTTGTCTCATTTATGACCTCATTGATAAAGTCTCTTTCAGTAGGCAGGAAGCAAATGAAAATATCTGAAAAAGGAGTAGTATATCTGTTTCGAGAAGTAAGAGGTGTGATTTATCATAATTGCACCTTCTCTTCCACGCTCATCAATCCTTGTTTTTAGTACTTTTTTCCTTTTAGGTGAATTTGGAGCAGCATCCCTTGTTTTATCCTTCACAATTGTGTCAACAGCAGGCACATGGTTTATAACCTTCTCCGAAGAAGAAGAGTTCATGTTGTTGTGGTTGCCGAACGCTAGATTCTCTTCCTTTGATTTTCTGTCGGTTTCTTTTCTATGCTTGAAATTTGGTTTATCTTCCTTCTCTTCCTCAAAATTCAACTTGCTCTTCTCAATGTCTGAAGAATAAGAGCTTCGTTTTGAATCCAGCATTGATTTCTTCTTTGGAGGATCTGGGGATGCTAGATTGACAGCATCTTTGAATTCGTCTTCTTCGTCTGAGAAGTCAAAAACAACCCTCCTCTTCCGACCAACTTCGCCATTGTACGACCGCTTGACGTTGACACCTTGACCTTCATCATCACTGCTTTCATGCTCTATTTCTTCACGAGCACATATTTGTGCATCTGCAATTGCTAATAGTTTCACAGTAACTAATGAACTCCTAAATTCAGGAAACAGCCAGCAGTGAAAGTGGATAAAAGTCAAAGGAACAAACCTGCAGAATTTGATATGCCATTAGTTTTTGCAGAGGCGCACTCAGCTTTGGACTTTGCAGATGCACGACCCCACATATTAGCCAATGCACCTCCGGTTCCAGAAGAGTTCTTATCAGTCTCTACTTTTTTCGTATTAACAGCCAATTGAGGAACTTTCAGTTTGTTCTCAGCAGGCTTACTCTCATTTTTAACATCTTTGACCACATTTGGGGATTGCAATGTGACATTAGGGCTTGATCCCTGAACCTTTTTCTGCTGCGGTTGTGGAATTGTTGGACTCTGGTTGGCCAAGGTGTATCCAGATGACCCTGAGGTCCCGGTAGTTTTCACTGGTAGCACACTTGTGGTTCCATTTGCTTCTTCAGCATTTCTCTTGACAAAGGAATTTAGTACTCCACAAAATCTGTAGTAGCACCAACCACAAAAAAATGTAGGAGCCAAGACAGGTTAAACTCTGTCAAATTAGCTGCATTTAGATCACCTAAGACATGCTGAATTTACCTGTTATCTCGCAGACAATTATCAACTTCATGGGGCTGCTTAAAGAGCTCTTCTGCTTGGACAAATTCAGCATTCCAAAGGACTGCTGGGTCTTTTGGTAAGCAAGCTTGCACGCTATAGATTTGAACTGAGCAATTCTCATCAAATTCTTGCTTTACTTCTACAAATTACAGGAAAAAGATGAAAAAAAAAATGCAATGCTCATTTCAACATGGAAGTTCCAAAAATAGAAGGATAGCTTAAAACATGAATTACATCTTGGATGCTAGCTTCGTTAAACAGCATTTTAAAGAATGCAAGCAGTATAAGCATTCTGTTGGAAATAGCCTATAACAAGCCATAAACTGCATTATAAGTAGTGGTCAAGTGTTTAAAATAACCAACTACTGATATGTCATTCTTGAGATAGCTCATAGAAGGGTTTATATCAGATCGATTGCGCCAAACTTGATCCCCCGAAACATAATGCAATGTATGACATAAATAACAGTTGCTTCTCAATTTTAAATCAACAGCTATTTGCAATGTCCCAACAGCCCAATATTTTCGTTGGTTCACTCAACTAATTATTCTTGGGAGGCATTACAAACCAACATCCACAAAGTACAGTCATCCAAATATATAAGCAAACAAAAGTAAATATTCAAAATCTGGAGGATGCATTATCTTCCACATCCTAGAAGATACGCAGAGCTTAACACCAATAGTCCAAAACAGCATTTTGCCGTAACCACAGATATGCTAACATTCAGCATGAATGTCACTCTACTGGATATCCAGTACAATTTAGAGGAAATGATGAAGCCAGACACATAAGAACAAATCACAATCAGGTAACAAGAAAAAACTACAACAATGGTGAAGTTTTCTCATCAGAAATCTCTAACAAGATATCATGCAAGGAAGCGTGCAAGATTTTCTAGCTTGGCATACACATGTTGATGCAATCACAAATAGAGCACTAGAGCACATTATACGTTTAGAACTCACGAGATACAGAGGACAAGCAGTTTTCAGGCTAACCAGCAAAGAAAATGTCTGGAATACAAATTTAGAAAGCTGAAAGGAAGCAATGTAGCAAAGTGGGAACAAATCTCACAGTCAATACACAGGGGCATACAACACAATTTGCCAAATTGAAACTCAAGATTCATCGGTAAACGAACCTGTAAGTTTAGGCTTGGACACAAGCCTGATATGATAAACGGAAGGATCAGTTTTCAACCAGCCAGACAAAGTATAAACTACCTCTACTCCGGTCCCACGCTTCTCAACAAAATCCTGAAGCAGCCTACAGATGACAAGTCGACAAACAACAAAGAAACTAACTTTAGCCAAAAAGGGAGAAATTTCGAAACGACAAATCATCAAAATATAAAATCTGAAAACTCGGTACCTTTTTGCGTCGTTTGAGGACACCAAAAAATTTCGACTCAGCCATTTGTATGACACCTAAAATAAAACACAGCCAAGAACAATTAAATTTAAACTACGTAAGATTTAGAAAAAAAACTTCGCTATTCTTCGTTTCAATTTCCACCATCTTACCAGAAATACAAGGAAAGAAAATCTGAGCATAACCCCTAAACTTATTCTCGAGAAAACAGAAGAAAAAGAACCCTCCATTGAACCTTTACAGTAAGGAAATACACAAGTTGATAGTACGAGAGATACCACTTGAAGCTTATCGGAGACGAGGGACTGTATCTCGTCGAGGATACCCAGGGTTTCAATTTCTGCCATGTTCGGGTCAGCGTGGGGCAGTCGGATCTCGCACCCGAAAAGGGGAAGTGATGAACCGAATCCGATAAACAATTTTCCCTCCGCAAAGAACATAAAAAAGCACCCAATTTTCCCGCCAGTATGATGGAGGGTAAGTTAGGGGGTTTACTGGTTAGCGGAGTCTTTTCTTGGCTTTTGGGGCCTATTGTCACGTGATTTTCCACATCGCACGTGCTCTATTTGGACCTTCCCTTCCTTTTCCTTCTTTCTCAGCATCCCTTTGCTTGATAGGTTAGTGAGAAATGGATATTACTCGTTTCCCTTTTTTTTTTCTTGCAAAGAATTATAATATTGGATTATTGGAGTTCTCGGGTTTACTCTAGAAAACAGAACATACCCAATGACAAAGGTATAAAGTCTTGTTTGAATTGCATTTTTCTGAATTTTTTATTAAAAAAATACTGTAGTGATTTGGTATATATGAAATAAAAAAATAATTGAAAAATATGTTCACAGCAATTTTTTTGGTAAAAAAAAATTGGCTCATCAATACGCTGTTACATTTTCCTGCATTTTCTTTAACCTTCATGTTGCATCCTCGACGATCAAATCAGGATACGATGAACATTTGATTTGATCAGCTTAAATTTCATGTGTTTTTGTTTACGTTTCTATTGAGTTTTCACACAAATTTTGGAAATAATCAAAAATTTCGACGCTCAATTCATTGACGTTATTTGTAGATTTCATTTCATTTTTACGGTTGAGAGGTACCCTGTGAACGGACGGCAAAGGGGCCCTTTTCTTTGACAGGAAAATGTGCCTTGTAACAGTGAGAAACAGCTCAATTCTGAGGATTGGAAGCTCCAAACCTCAACTAGCATGAGAATACTAACAACCAGCAAAAGCAGGAAGACCTTTAAGAGTGCATTTCAATAAACCATTTAATTAAAAGCCCGTTCACCATTTCAATAAACTTTAATGCGTGTCCTTTATACATTAAATTATCTAGTTCATGATCATTTACACTTGGTGCACAAACTCCTCAAGACTTTTGTTGGACGAGGCCATGAACAAAAGTCAAGTGAAAATGTAGACTTCATCGTATCCTCTCCTGCAATGAGAACGAACAAATGACATCAAGTTGGTACAAGTCTTTCACCATCTTATCTTTTTTGCGTAAAACAAGAAGAAAACAAGCATTGATCCTACTGCAGTCTCAACTGCAATCAACTCACCCGGCTTTACCACAATAGGTTGGTGTGTAATTGTAGATGAGGTTGTCAAGAACTTTACGAGCTGGTGGCCTGTTTAAGGACTTCCTGGCCTCACTGCACATAAAGAAACTCAAAGCTATGAAAAGGCCAATGAGACATTAGCTCAAAGATTTTGCATATATAACAGGATAACGTTAACAGTTCCTACCTCACAAAAAAATTGGCCACATATTGAGTCACTTGAATTGCATCTTCCGAGTGTGGAATCATTGATAACCCCCATTCAAATGCATTTTTCTGCAATAAAGGTAGGTATTTGGGTTCAGAATTCAGCAGCTGCATCCCATTTATCTGCATGCTCTGTGTGTATGTGGGATATCCAGAAACGTATGGAAAAGATATGATAGCTAAAATTTATTATTCCAAAAAAAAAAAAAGAGACTTCACAACCCAAAATTATGTGTACATAAAAGAAACTTCACAACCCAAAATGTGACATTGATCCTCAGCCTTGCATAACAATGACATCTAATTATGTGTGGATAAAAGAAACTTCACAACCCAAAATGCATATAATCATTACTCAAGTTTCTAAAACCTGAAACATAAGTAGCCAATGTAAGCTAATGCTAAACCTCTAACATAGACAGATTATACCTCTGGGTGCCACTGAAATGCTGTGACTGGATAGTCATTTGCTTTGACGGTAGAAACATAAACCTGGCACATTATCAGGAAAGGAAAACTTGTTTGTAAGTAGAAGGGGCAATTGACCAACAAAAGATGAATACAAAAATTACCTTATCGTTCTCATCTGCGCTTGTTGTCAGAATCTGGAAGAAGTTACATAAAGCAGCAGTCTTTCTAAACCTCTCAGGTGATATACCATACTGTTACACAGGAAAATACACAGTTAACCAGCTCTACTTGGTGTTTAAATATATGGGCCTATTAAGAATGGCATAATACACACCCCTACAGTGGTAGTTCTGCAGCATTGAGTATAAAATATGAGATTATGAGGAACAGGGTTAAAACTGCACATCGCCATACCAAATACAGTAATTCAATAGGGCCTGAAAATTTTGGTTATTAGGTACTAAGCTAACATCCTCAAAAAATTGAGCATAATTAGTTGAAAACAATTTAACAACACTGCATTCAGAAAAATTTATGCAATGGGAATGATATTTGCCCATGCTAGTTCTAATAAAACTTGTGGATTTTATCTTTAAGGAAATTGAGATCCTACGAATGGAACATCCAGTGCACCAGCCGTGGATTTTCAAGCCTTGAGGAATGGAACTATTCTAAATCTGGATTTAAACTTTAAAATAAAAAATCAATCCTTAAGGACACTTCGAACAAGAAGATCTGGAATTTAGGAACTTCTGGGGTGTTGAAATATTTTAATTAGCACACACATTGTGTAAAGCCTTACCCAATCCAAATATATTCATATTCGATATAAGTAAGACAATCAATCCCTAAATCAAATTGTTATGTACCAAAACATAAGTGGGGGTTATAGACGTTTCTGTAGAACCAGCACATGCACTTAATCGCCCCTAATCAGGTTAAGGTAACATGAAACAAAAGATTCACATACATGATGGTTTTGCATCACAAGGCAATCTGTACTGAGCTTCTTTAGCAAATCTGGAGGAAACCTGCAGGACAAATTAAAAAGGAACTTGAATTCATAGCTCCAGTAACTAACATAATTCAAAATTCAAAATACTGTTAGGTTGGAAACAGTTTAAAGATACACATCCATTGAAAATTCGCAAAAGCCCTACAAAATGAAAACGTTATCCTTGTAGCAACTACACTAACTCCATCTCACGTTAAATCATAGATATCATGCTCGTTACACAAGCATCCTAGGTCACTATGTTAATTTTACTGATGTTAAAAGGAAAGTGTTTCAGCAATTCATTAATAACATCTCAATAACACAGCTTTATTGATTGGAACAATGCGACAGACTCTTGAATGGTTATTTAATTATATAATCAAATCATGTATGAAACAATATAACTCAAAACTTTAAAGAACATCAACTAGCACAAAAAATAAACCTCAGCAAATGTTATTTCAATGTTCTCCACCATAGCAGAAGTAGATTCTCCACCATATTTACCTCTGAAATACAGTTCCTTCGAGATTAATGCTCCCCACAAATTGGAGCGTAGATGCTTGATCGGCAGCACTAAATTGCTCAAGAATATCACTGTCCTATTATCAACAAGACAAAATGTCAATGTATCATAACCTACGAAAGAGAAAGATTCATATGGTATGTTAAAACCATGCAGATCTTATCATAGCATAGTTATACAACGTAAACTTCTAATGGCAGGATCTTGTGGAAAGTAGCATTTAGAGATTCCAAATTTCTCAAATAGAGAAGGTATAGGAAATGACTTGTAAGAAGGAGGTGAACGAGGGAGGTTTGGGCCTTCAAGCTGTTCATTTCAGAAATAATTAATCCACCAGGTTGTTCAAAAGGCCATTGAAATGAAGGAGTACCTTACTGATGATCATTGTCAAAAGTTCAAAACCTAAGCAGATAGCAACCAATGGAAAATGGTCTCCTGCATCGTTTTTCTCCAAAACTCTCTGCAAAAATCATACCAAAGAACAGTTGATTAGCAGAGACCAAGATATTGACAACAACAGTCATACCGCTTCCTCGATCTATACAAGTTGAAATTTTAAATCAGTAACTTCACTAGGAAAGCTACAATCACTGAATAAATGTGAAATATGACCTTTTCAAATGCAGATGGGAAATAATTAACAGAAACTATCTGTAGTACATTTTCATAATAGAAATGTGCATGCTTATGTGTCCTCTATCATGGCATCATTCAAAAGGACAAAGACAACCAAACTGCTGCACTTGCACTTCACTGTACATGAATAATTCACACGCAGAAAAGGTAGCATGTCTTCATAGATGAAAGAAAGTCATTCACCTTAAACACAGTCCCTACAACATCAAAGTAGAGACCACTTTTAGCCCAGCCACCAGTGAAAAGCACTCCATTAACTAGACTGAGTTTCTGCAGAACGCAGCAAAACTCTATATCAGGAAAACAGCTGAAGATATTAAATTAAAAAAAAAACTTCAGAATCAGATTCTGGATAGGTTATTTCTGATAAAAAGCTAATAAACGTCTAATTTTCAACATCATCATCTTATGCTGCTTACATGCTACTTCAGCTCTACATGCTTCAATTTCAAAGGAACCATTTACCTTTCAAAGAAAGCACAGGAATGCCTTTGAGGACAAAAGCCCCACACTCTGCATAATTAACAAAGCTCAACTGAAAGAAGTGCAGTGACTGAAAGCTAAAGTATCAATATCAGAACTACACATTTCAAAATGGCAAGTTTCAGCACCAAACATCTAATTATCCACAAAGCAAAAACCCCAGCTTAAAGAAAGAATATTAATAATCTTTATCAATCAGCAAACCCGGTATTGTAAATACTAACTTGTACTAGTAGAAATAGATTACAAAAGCAGCACTCTTGCTTGCGTCGACTAATATTATTCCAACTTCTTAAAACTTTGAAGTACAAAAGCAAAAATAACGCCAAAACTATCTAACAAGAATCAAAATCAACCTCCCTTCTTTCTTGCCATTACCCCAAAAAAAAAATTACGACTTTCCCAGGGGCACAAAGAATTTAATTGAAAACAGACGAAATGCTAGTGACTGCTATCGAAAGAGAATTACACATTCATCTTTAAGGCAAAGCAAGCAACAACTAGGTATAAATTACCATTTCGAGAACCTCAAGAGGTTCGTTATAGATGAGGGGAATAACTCTAGCCCCTGCGGATTCCACAAACTTAACGTAAGAAGCGGCAATGTAAGAAGCATTGGTGGCATTATTAAGCCGTCCTGAGGCTCCATCTCCGGGATGACTAAGAATTCCGATGACCGGACGATAGTTCAGCTTAGGGTCAGGAGCTGGACAACTTGGACTGAGTCGGGGCGTGTTAATAACGGTCCGATTCTCACTGGGTAAAAGAATACTCGTCGTCGAGTCATCCGAAATGAGGTTATCATTAGCTGAAGCCGCCGCAGTGAGGTCCTTGGAGAGTGCGATTAAAAGAGGAATCCAGAGATAATTGAAGTTGAACATGTCGGAAGCAGAGGAGGCGGAGGAAGAAGCGGAGGAGAGCGGAGGGAGAGTGGGAGCGGGAGTGGAGGCGGAGGCGGAGGACTTAGTAGCGGAGGCAGGAGAAGACGGCGGAGGTGGAGGCATGTTTGCTAACGACGTCGTTAAGTTTAATCCGGAGCGATGATGATGATGATGATGCTGAGAAGGGGTCAAGGAAGGGATTGTTTGGTATTGACATGGGAAACTGCCGAGTTTTTAGAGAGAGGGTTTCGTTTTTGTTTTTTGTTACTTTTGTATTGTTTTTCGGGTGCGGGAATGGGGAACGATCGATGGATTGGGTGGGAAATGGAGTCTATGGGTATAGGGAAAATTATGGAGGCCGGTGGGTTGTGCATGGATGGGCCGGCGGGTGGTGACGAGGTGGGACTTTCGGCGTTTAGCGGAATTGGTAACGCAATTAGTGAGGAAAACAGCACACGTTTCGTGACTTTTATCGTACTAATGGACGATTTGTCCTGACTTTGGCGGTGGTGGTGGGGGACTTGGTGGCAATCATTCATGGGCATGATTTATTGGATTATTATGAGACCTTTGGAGAAGAATATAATGCTAAATTTGACATCTTATTCATTATTTAATTAATTGTTAGTACTATTAAGGAAGTGTTTAATTATCAAATCTTCTACCACTTTGATATAAAAGACGAGTCTCTTTTTTTTGAGTTCATTGCCAAAATAACTCTTCTTTCGAAACATATATCCAAGGTAACCTAATTTTAAAATTTATTATCTTTATAATTCTTTTTTTTTTCCACATAAGTTGCATATGTGGTAGGATAGAGATAGAGGCACATACTATCTCTCTTTCTTAATTAATATCTTCCCTGATTCTCTCTCTGAACCTACCCACTTTTTTTTCCTTTATTATTTTTTGTCCTTTCGTTATTTTTCCTTGTCAAATGTAATTGTTAAAAGTCAATATTTATATTAACAACATCTAAAATTTCATTATCATTCCTGATATTATGAAAATATTCTCCTCGAATTGATAATTTCAAGGTAAATGAAGATTATTCTCTTGTCTTTTCTGTTGTGCAGTTTTTGGAACATTCCCATGGCCTTCAAAAAATTTTGAATACTAATTGCTTTAACAAATGATTTCTCACACCGTGTGCTTGATAAAATGTCTAAGAGAAAAACTACGTAACAACATAAATTCATGTTCAATATAAGCATGTTCATTTGTAGTGCCCCTCTGTCACATAATCAAATAATCTCGTATACTTGAAGCATTTTTGCACATTTATTCAACATCAATTAATGGCTTGTGTTACTTTTGAGAAACTTTAGTATTATCTTAATTGCAATAGTTTGATTACTTTTTGTAAAAGTACTTTTCAAGGAGTAGAAAGCGTAACATAAACATATATGATAACCTTGAAGTTTTTTAACTTTTTCTTATTATTGCTTATAATGTTCATTGCAATTTTTGTATTTTGCAAATTTATTTTTGAAAAAATATATGCAATAAGTTTGATACATTTAAAAAAAATTGCAATAATAGCAAGGTCAATAATGGTAAAATTTATTTTAAATAATTATAAGGAAATTATCAAAGTTATGCAATTTTCTTGTGCCTCTATAATAAAACAGTTTAAATTTTTAGTTTTTATTGGAAACTATAAACTAGATTATAAGCTTTCCTTTCTTGTTATCTTACATGGCAATCAGGGTAATTAGGTGGCAACAATAACATCGATTTGGGAATAAAATTTGAAAGTGAATCACATTGGGAATATTTTTTAGAAAGAGTGTTATTTTGACAAAAAACTCCTTTTTTTTTTCCTTTTCTTTTGAAGCAACAAATAGGGTTGTAAATGAATCAAGTCAAGTTTTAACTTAATCAAATCAAATCTCGACTTATTTTATCAAATTTGAACTTGAATTCGATGAACTTTCAACTTAAAACTTAAGTTCAAACTTGACTTCAAATTCGAGCAAAATCATTCCCGAACTCAAGTTTAAAAAGATAATTATTTTACTTTTAAAAAAATGAATAAAATAGTAATTTTTTAAGAAATAATAAAATATTATATATATATGTAATTCACTATTAAAATTATATATATAAAATCGAGGCGACTCGCGAGTTAACGAATTGAGTATTTTTGAGTCCGAATTCGACACGAGTTCAATGTTGATCGGGCTTGAGTCGAGCTTTGACTCGATCACGAGCAACTAGACTATGAATCATTAGAAGCAACAAGATGAGTAAAATCTGATGAAACTTAGAAGCGCCAAGCGTTTAGCGAGCTTCGCAGATTAGTTCATACTAGTCCCGACAAAAACCGGTAAAAGTCATTATCTCAACTTGTTAGTATCAAGCTTCAATACATTAAAGTTTGATGGAATGGGAGGCAAACAATTTGCCACATTCAAAGTAGCTCTACTTAAAAAATTCAGACAGATGCATAATGCATTCGTTTGATCCGATGGTGGTTCAATCTCCCGTGAATTACTCTTGGATTTCTCCGATCCACCCCTCGCTGTTAGCGTAGAATAATATACTGTATTGACAGAAAAAAAAATAACTCTATGGTTGAATCAGTCGCATATCCATGATCCAGTCCATTTTCAAGAGGAACTGCTCTGCGATCCATCACACATACCCAATTTCAAGGCCCAGGCCCATAGTCGTCCATTTCGATCCATAGATGAAAAAGTGAAAATTTGATTAAATCTCCCTAAAACCCTCTAATCTTCTGCTTTTCCTATTCTTCTCAGTTCTCGGGACAAACAGAGCAGAGAATGATCTTGCGCCAAATCCTCCGTTCCTATCATTCCGAAACGCTCCTTAAACTCGAAAACCATCCGCTGAACCCTTTTGCATCACCGCATTTGATCTCCCCCAGACCCTTTTCACTTTCGTCTTATTTCAAACCCCTAGAAGACGCAGAACCAATTAGCTCTGAGAATGCTGTTGGAGAAAATAAGAAATCAAGAAAAGCTTTGAATGTTTACTTCAAAGAAGCTGTTGGACTCTTAAAAAAGACCCCAGAAGATATTGGAACTGAAAGTGAAGGTGAAAATGGAGAGCTCAAGAAGAGATTGAAGAAATTGGAGGAGGAATTGAGGGGCTTGAAGCAGAAAAAGAAGGATGAGAAGGAGAATTTGAAGAATAAGGAGCACAAGAAGAAAGAGGGGGTGCATAAGAATGAAGGGTTGTCAAACTACGAGGAAAAATCTGGGGGTTCATCTTTATCATCGTTGTTCGCTAATAAGTTTGGGAGGGATGATGGAAAAAAGATGAAGGATTTGAAAGAATTGAGAATGGAGGATCCGGAGGTTTATAAGGAGCTTTCTCCTGACATGGAAATGTTTGTGACGCATTTATACAATAATGGGTACTTTAAGGATTCGAATTTCTTGCCTAGGAATAGGCTTGATATTAGTTGTTTTGAGAATAGTTATGCTCGAGATTTTATCAAGTTTGCAGCTGAGCAGTTTGGCATGGATAATCAGGAGATTGCAAAGTAAGGATTTTTATTCTTGTCACAAGGCAGAAAGATAATTGGCTCGTTTCTTGGCATCCTAGATTGTCTGTGAATTCCTTGCATTTGTATACTCAAGCACTAATATACACACACACACACACAGATAGATTAAGTGGTTGATTTTTAGATATCAGATGTGATCTTTTGAATTCTTCGATCTGATTATGAGAATAATAGGATGAGTTTTCCAGTAATATGCTTTGTCCTGTATACTTAGATTATAATTTGCGACAGTGAGTTACTTGTAGTCATGTTAATGCAATTGTAGGAATGGTATTTTTCGCATGGACTAATGAATGTTCTGCTTTCTTTAGGTTATTTATTTGAATGTATTAACTATTAATAGAAAAAAGATACTAACTTTTTATCTCACACTTAGGATTAGTTATACAACGCTTAAGAATTGATATCCAATGGAACCTTGCCTTCTTCAAGCCTGTGGACAAGAAGGTTGCCTATTTCATTTCTTGACATCTTCCTCTTCCCTCTGTAGTGGCTCCAATTTTTTATGCCTGAACTGTAATGAGGGCGTGGAAATACTGCCCTGTTCTTTTTTTCTTTTCTTTTTTTGTGAACAACAAATGTTTTGATGAAATTCTGTTGCTAGGTTACCAGCTTGTGTCCCTTCATTTTTTGGGCTTTTGCCTACTACTGCCCTGCCGTTAATCCTATCTGTCCTGTTTGCAACTAATCTTTGAGAAAGCAAAAAGAGAAAAATGTAAATAGAAGTGAGTTAGCAAGCAAACAAGGGGATGGACATCATGCTTTTTATTTTCAAATCAAGTAGATGAAATCAAGTAGAGTGGTTAGGGACATTGTTGCAAGAACATTGAGGGTGCATTGAAATTCATTGCAAATTCAATTATGTGCTACATGTGAAGATCACACAATTTAATGGCCATTTGTGCTCAAGTCTGCAGTTATGCTTGACTATTTACATTTTAACAAGTCATTGCATTCAAAAACAGAATAAAATCATCAAGTCAGGCGACGTGGTGACTGAGGGGGAGAAATTTTTTGTGACCTTGACGTGAAGCAACAAGTAACCTTTTTAAGTTGTGCTCAATATTTGTAGTATTACAGAGTGGAGTAGATTGCTAAATCACCGGTGCAATTCTCTGTATGTTGCATATTCCCCTGAATAGCAGATTTGAAGTGAAACAGTCTACCATTGCTTGGTCTTTCTAATAAGTTCTTGTTCTAGCTTGTTCTGAATTATATCGACACAGTTGAGTTATGATACAAGTTTTATACCTCACAGAGATTAGTGAAGCATTTTCAACGTATTGAGTTTCCTAGCTTGCATCTTCTCCATCTTAATCTTGTGAATTGGTTTCTCAGATGGATGTCAGGCAGCGACCTGAAAAAGCTGGCCCTTTTCGGTTGCCCTTCTCCTGGTAAGAAGATTGTCTTTTCCGCTAAAAGATTGCGCAGATTCTTCAAAATTCAGGAAAACACTGTGAGTCGATTTTCTTTTGTACTTTGTTTTGTAAACCATTTAAATTTTATGAAGGCATATTCCTCTTCTTTCTTGTTTCTACCTCACTGTTTGGCTTCTCAAGTATCATGTGCTTGCCTCAGGTTTGTGACAAATGCGTGTTAAAACAATCATGCAAGTTTGTTAATCAGAGTATTTGGAGAAGCAATGACAACAATCTAGATATGGCGGTTGTAATGAGGATCATTACCTCGTATGCTTTGGAGTCAGGTCCTGCACAATTGGTGGTGCCTGATGAAATAAAAGCTACTGTCAGGCGATTGCTGAAGGAGGCTGTAAACCTTAGTCAAACTGTGTCTTAGAGGCCTTTTTTCCAGAACCCATATCTGCACAAGCCTTTCAAGCAGCTCTGATAATTGTATAGGATACTAAACTAATCTCACAGTCCTTGTTGCACCAGGAAGTATATCTCGT